GATGAAAAGTCATGTGTATGCTGTTCTATTTATATTTCAGGTTCATAGCCAGGTGCAGGCTGACTGCCACAGACTGTGGGTGAATAGTCCAGTGTAGGCTGTCCTTCATAGACTTTGGGTGGATAGCCAGTAGAAAGGCTGTTTTGCATAGCTGGTGTGTGGTAGCTAGGTTTCAGCTCTGCCTGGCCAGTTAGTGTGTGGATAGTTGATGTTAGGCTGTTCTACGCATTTTTCGGTGGAAATCTAAGTGCAGGTCTGTTTTTCATATCGGTGGACATCCAGGTGTAGGCTATCCTGCACATATTGTGGGTAGATAGTCTTGTGCCTCTCTTTCTTGATGAGCTTTTTTTTTTGTAATTACACATTTAAGGTTATTTAAATTTGTGACTAAAGCTGGACATACACCTATAGATTATCTATGGTCAGATGGAAAAAGTGCAACAGATTCCTTCATCTACGCTAAACTGAGTGGATGGAGGAATCTCCCGCTGGGCCAAGCTTCAGTATCTTGCTAGTCGGCCCCGCTGACTCTCAAAATACCTGAACAATCTGATTGGATGCAATAGCGTAGATGGAGGAATGTTGCACTTTTTCCATCTGAAAACCTGCAGATAATCTATAGGTGTATGGCCAGCTTTAGAAGTCATTTTTATGTGTCACAGTGTACATGCTTGCTGATCCATATTTGCATAATTATACTTCATACACAAATTTGTAGATATCATTTCTAGACACTATCTGTATATCACAAAATACGGGCAGCATTCCTACTAAACATGCTGATGTCAAATCAACTAGCCACGCAAAGAGACTATTGTTTTCCACTAGTCTGAGCAACCACTAGAACTGCTTTTTGAGACTGAAGCATATAGCACAATCACCTTATGGGTGGCCATAAATGGGAATGTATTTATAAGCTTTGATCACAGCAACAGGATTTTTGCACTTTGCACCAAAAGGCAGCTAATAAAAAAAAGTTCATTAAATTTTAATTAATCAATATAAGGCTGAATATTACTATGACATACTATGAAATACAGAGCTCCCTCTAGTGGCTAATCTACAGATCTGTATATTGAATACAATACACGTACCTAAAAGAACAAGTATGTAGAAATATAGACACAGAAAAGTTACATTATAATTGCTCATTAAATAAAAACAAACTATATTTTCACTTTAAAAAACACTATAAAAAAATCTCTACAACTTATGTACTTTACATATTGCACTTGGTTCAGAGATATTTCTTCAGTAATCTGTGGTGTCAGTTCATGAACATTAATGTCCTTTAGGCTTAGTGCAGTATGTTCACATAAACATATGTGGCCTGAGGTCTGACACCAAACATAGGGCAATGTCCTGCACTTGTGTGTCGTTCACTGCATATCATCTATAGCTGTGAATGAGTCATGTGAATTTAAATAATTTGCAATATTTTATAGATCTGTGTTATGTTTATGTCATTTGTAGATGGCTGGACTCATCCAGATCTCTCATGGAACAAAAGATCCAAGAAAATGATCTACTTTTTCTCAAATTTAAGTACTACTCCTTCTATGATCTAAATCCAAAGGTAGGAGCGTTTAAATATGAATGTGTATTATTACTGGTATTTATATAGCGCCAACAATTTACGCTTCATTTACATACTGCAGGTGCACATCAGTCCCTGCCCTCAAGGAGCTTACAATATAAGGTCCCTATCTCACAAGCATACATACAGGGCCAATTTAGACAGTAGCCAATTAACCTTCCAGCATGCCTTTGGAGTATTTATAGGGATATTTAGTATTTTAGGGATAATATACAAACTCCATAGGGATAATATACAAACTCAGGATTTGAACCAGGGACCCCTGTATGTAGCAAGGCAGAAGTGCTAGCCACTAAGGTACAGTGTAGAATAGATTTATATTGCTCTTTACTATGCTCCTCCAATTAAATCTGTTCAGATAGAGAGTTAAGGTGGCCATACACTTTACAACTAAGAGTTAAGGTGGCCATACACTTTTAAGACTAAGGTCCTGCGATGGTTGTAAAGTAATTCAAAAAATGTACGATCTGCCCATCTTGGACAGGCAGATCGTACTTGCAATCATTGCAAGCCCGCCCCCTTGAGGTGCGGGCTTCCGATGACCGCGATGCTGAACGGGCAGTGTGCGTGTGCGCACACCGGCCCGTGCGGCATTGATCTTACGATCATGCTAAAAACCAGCCGAAAATCGTACGATTCTCGGCTGGTTTTCTAGCGTGCTCCTTAGACAAAAGACGTGCGACCGTACAGTAGAAACGGTTGCACGTCTTCATTCACACTGCACGATTCTCGTACGATCGCGGGATTTCCCGCGATTCTCGTACGAGAGTCGTGCAGTCTATGGGCACCTTTACCCTGTGAACCTTTTGAAAATGCTACTTGCCTAGCTGTGATACCAATCAAGTAGTCAATACTTTTACCCATAAGTCTTTTACGCATAAGTCTACAATAAGAATGCAATGAATAAAGTTAAATCTCCTGATCTACATGCTTGACAGAGATTTATTAAATAAAAAAAGCCATTAAATCAGCAAGCCAACCAGGCAAGTCGCATTTCCAGAGAATCAGCCATGGCAGCCTCCACATTTCTTCCAGTTTAGGTTTAGACATGTAAGTGTATGTATGGTTGTGGGGTGTATTAAAGCAGATGGTAACATTTTATACTGTGCGGGGTGGACTGTACATACCTGCACTGAAAATAGGATAAACATTAATAAATATAAATCTGTTTCCGTCTTTCAGTATGATGCTGTTCGTATCAACCAGCTGTTTGAACAAGCGCGATGGGCTATTTTACTAGGAGAAATTGATTGTACAGAGGAGGAGATGCTCATGTTTGCAGCACTACAGGTTAGTATCCTATATTTAATAGCTCATAAGTCAAATGCAACCCTTGTGTTCTGTGCTTCTAATTATCCTCCAAACAGTTCTGACATTATATAAGCAGTCAAGAAAACTGAAAAGCTTACCAAAAGTGGGCATGACTTAATATGCAATGATCTGGTTAGAGCAGATTTTGAGTGGGTGGAGCTGACATGGAAAGAGTGCCCTCTGCCCCATCAAAAATTACTACATTATTGCTGGAGACACCAAACATCTATAAAAATAAAAAAATATACTTACCTTTAGCCCGTGTTCCTCACTGGGGGGGTTGACTTTACAGTCCTTCCAATGAGTCTTTCCAACATGCAGTATCCCAAATCTCACATAAGACGTTCCAACATAGTATAGAAGCATCGGCAATGGGCATATGAGTTTTGTGTAAAGTAAGTATATTTTATCATTTATTTTCGACAAGTGTTTGTTTTTTACAGCAATAATGTGGCAATTTTATATGGAATGAGGAGGCACTATGTAATGAACGACCCTTACCTTTAAGTGCATCGGTTGGGAGAAATGCTTTTGAATGTTGCCTATCAGCAGGTACTTGGTACCTGTTTATTTTAAACACCCTGAGCCCTTAATACTTCTCATAAGCATGAAACCAAACAGAGGCTGTGTATCTAAATTGTTCCTATAAAGTTTTAACATTTATTTCAGGTGTATTAACTGTCATTTTTACTGCTAGTAGGAAGCAACAACAGTGGCCCAATATATACACCATACTCCTCGTACACTTGCTCCATATGTATACTTTTACAACTTCTACAACAGTGCAGGACAATTGAATGGCTTAATTGGTGAAGGTTTTCACAGTTCAGGGACATAGGTATGGCTCAGTTAGGGGAGGTTTTCACGGTTCAGGACAATAGGTATGGCTTAGTTAGGAATATGTCTTCACATTTCAGGAAAATAAGTATTGCTTAGTTGGGGGTAGGTTTTCACAGTTCAGGAACATAGGTATGGCTTATTTGGGGGGAGGTCTTCACAGTTCAGGAACATAGCTCCAGATTAGTTAGACTAGGTTGTCACAAAAATAAGTATGGCTTAGTTGTGTGAGGGTCTTCACATTTCTGGAACGTAGATATGGATTAGTTGGGGGTATGACTTTACAGTTGGGGAAAATAGGTTTGACTTAGTTGGGGGGATGTTGTCAGGGATACCGGCACAGGTGGCCCCACACCTGCGCAGGTACCCACACAGGCAGACCAAACACTTATGACCACACCGGACAGGGCAGAATGTTATATATACAGTTTATTCAACAGCAAACTAAACAACACCCAAAAGCAAACATAAATAAGTAACCTCACCCAGACTACTAGCAGGTAAAGGCAACAGGAGGACAAGCAGGTAATGGCAATAGGAGGAAAGGCAGGTAATGGCAACAAGAGGACAAGCAGGTAATGGCAACAAGAGGAAAGGCAGGTCTGCAAATGGGTAACCGGGCTCGGGACACAAACAAGGTACAGGACTCTGGACGGAAAGCAGGATTCTCTGGAACTGGGGACTCAGGCTTCAAGTTTCAGGAAACAGGAAATAATACTGAGCCATCATCCTGCCTGCAGGGAGGGTTTAAATATCCTCCCAGGAAGCACCAGGTGATGGCTAAGTACTGGCAGCTGGGAAGCACCCGCAGGTGAGCACTGGAGCTGCAGGTCTCAGCTCCTGCGCCACCTAGAGGTGCTCTGGATCCTAACAGATGTCTTCACAGTTCAGGAACATAGGTATGGTTTAATTGGAGTAGGCCTTCACCGTTAAGGAAAATAGTTTTTTGAATTAGTTGGGGCAGGTCTTCACAGTTTAGGAAAATAACTATGGTTTAATTGGGCTAGGTCTTCACAGTTCAGGAAAGTGGCTAGAGGAGCATTACAGAAATAGAAGCTTTCATGACATGTTTGGTAATGCTTCATATATCTTTGCATGTGGAAGTGAGCTTTTTCTACTAAAAGGCCAGTTTTAGCCTAATCAGGCTTACTACCGTAGTTAATCAGGGCAGTTTGAAAATTGTGTCAGATACAAGCAGAAGTTGTGTCTATACATGCTGTTCCCTACTCCAATCACAGTTAAACCTCATTCAGACGGGCCAGGTGTCCGCACTTGAATGCACACTGTCTGCGTCCAAGTGCGAACACCCAGACCCGCACGGATGTGCAAGTTCGGGTGTATGTATGACAGCATACAGCCGTATCCCTCTCATAGGGAAGAACAAGTTGCTGCGCGCAATTACACGCAGCACCTGTCCCTCCCGGGATCGGCCCATTTACCCCGTCTGAATGAGGCCATAAGCAAGGCCACACCGAGCATACATGTTTGTCAACCTGTCAACTGTTAAACATGCCACTGGGTGGTCAGATTTTACTATGTGAACTTTTTTTATCCCGATTTGTAATTCGAGGCAAGATAACAAACCAATCTCTGCCACCTCATGGTGTGTACCACTTCAGCCTGGATTTAGTTTTGCCTCAGACCCAGTGCTGATAGCCAACCTCCTTCTAGTTTATTCAGTATGCCTCAGCCTAGATTGTTTTGCCTTAGACACTGTGCTAATGGTCAACCTCTTTCTTCTTTATACAATATAGTATCACATAAGCAAGTTATCAGTATCAAATGAGTCATGTGAATTAGCCACAGATGGGGAAACAGATGAAATAGAAGCTGCACTTTCAAACTTAGAGGTTGCAATGGAAGGAGGAAAGTCCAACAAAATATTGGTATGTGCATATTATATATTCTATATACAGTAAAGGAACTGTGTGGGGTATTTTCAGTGGATTTATACAGTATTTTTAGTTATGATTTAATTGCTTGCATTAATGTTAATTTTAATTTGTCTTTCAAATTTGACTCACGTTTTTACTATTGTATTAAATGTAGAGACTTGTAGATTAGCCACTAGAGGGAGGGTAGATTAGCTACCTCAATAATGGTGACTGATTACTTAAAGTGACACTAAACTCAGGAATTAAACATTAACATGCATTCAAGTACCTTTAAAGTGACATTAAACCCTCAGATTTTTTAACATAAACCAATACTGTAATGTGTGCCTTACTGTAATCCATGGTAGTTTCCCTTCTCTTTGCTGCTCTTCCGTTTTAATCCTTATCTCTTCTCATGCTGGGGGAGAACTTCCCTTTGCAGCTGAGTGCCTCTTCCTGTAGTGCTGGCTCAGGTTGTGAACCTTCAGAGACAAGGCAGTCTGCTGCAAAACAGAAGTTCTGCCCAGCATGAGAAGAGATACAGATTTAAAAGGAAGAGCAGCAAAGAGAAGGGAAACAACCATGGATTACAGTAAGGCACACATTACAGTATTGTTTTATGTTAAAAAAATCTGAGGGTTTAATGTCACTTTAACTATTAACAAAAATGTATCTTATTTGTGTATCACTCGGCTGTAGATCCTCAAATCATCTCTGAATTCATGCTGACACTGTCCTTCCTTCTGGAGGGGGCAACTTTTATTCCCGGTGGTCCCTGTGTGTGTTGTAAAGTTCACTCACTTGATGGACTACAATCTCAATATAAATTAGTCAACTAAACAAGAAATTGTAGTCCGTCACAGGAGTGAGCTTGGAGCGATGACTACTTTACAACACACACAGGGACCACAGGGAACAAAAGTAGCCACCATGCAGAAAGAAGGACAGTATGTGACCGGGCCCTCATACCTGCACACAGTTAAAGATTTTGCAGGCATGTGCATATAAGTGTTCAGTGATAAACAACTGAACATGTTGGAAAAGCTGCCCTGATGACTATTGCCGCCCATAATAAGCATTGCTAGCAGCAACTGCTAACATTACTCCCTCCCACTTGCCACTGAACTCAATGCAAATGTCCAACTATAGTAGATTATTGCTTTTATGAAGCAGCACACAGCTCAGGTGCCATAGAGCAGTTGGATTGTGTGTTGGCATGGTCACCCATCGTCCTATATCTATGGGCACCTTATTAGTTGGCAGCACATGTTAAAAACATGGATTGCTACGAAGGTTATATACATTTAGGAATGTTTACCTGATCTTATTAGCTTCCCTGATGCCTGATGCCCTAGGCTTTTTTTGGGGAAGAATCAATTGGCCAAGATTGATTTTCCCAGCCACCCATTACTGTTTTCTGTGATAGACTGTTACCTGTTCCTCCCTCCCGTCTCCATGGCCACAAAATAATTATTATAGTTGGTGATTAGCTGCCTTCTATGTGCTTTGGCACATTACTGGTTTAAACAGACATAAGT